TGACGACAGGTCAGGTCCATATGAACAGGATCCTTCGATCCTTTTCTCGGACTGGGACCTTTCATATACGTTCTTGGCAGATGATCCAGAAGTGGTTTGCCATTGCCTTCTTCTGTGTGTGAATGGAGTAATTGTTGGGATGCCACGGAGAAACCGGGGAAGCCCCCGGAGGAAAACTCCGTGTTGCCTAGACCACGGCCTTGCCCAACACAAGTTATAAATTCGGGCACCGTCGGGAATCGAACCCGAGACCCCAGGATTACAAGGCCAGCGTTCTAACCGCTAGACCACCGTGGCGGGAGTGTTTATTTAAATTTCATTAATTTTATGTTTCACACATTCCAATTCATAATTCCTGGAAGTTCTTCTAGTTTCACATCTTACATTTTTTGGATGAACTCCATTTATTCAATTCAGATTTTGCAAATATTTTAATTTAGCTCCTTCCTTTGGTCTAATAATTTTGAACACTTTTCATCAAACTAAGTTTTGTGCTGCTTTCACTTGTAATAATCAATACTCTCTTTCATTGAAATAGTAGTATTTTCTGTGAATCTTTCACAAGTTATATTGACGTCCACTGTATCACCCAAGTTTTACAAGGCCGCGAACATATTTGAGATTTCAATCTAATACTGCTATTTAACTTCCACGGCTCTTTTTACGTAATAATCCAGATGAAATCTGGACTTCATATCTAAACCAAGTTAAATATGAAAGCCCTTTTCATTTTAGCAACTAGTTCTTTCACTCTGATACATCAATTCACTTTTGTCGCAGGTTAGAGGTGGTTCAGCGGAGTACATCATTTAAAAAAAAGCATTTTGTGCATTCCATGGAGTTTCTACAAGTTGTGTTGAACGTCTTGGAACTTACATGGTTGAAAACATCACCCCACCTGGAGATTGCTGAGGTAAACATGATAATTGACCAAATGATGTTACAGAGGAGACTCTTCATCATATCAAGTTACAAATAAGAAGTTCCTCAAGCAAGCATCTCGCTACAGTTGTGCAGAAAATGGAAAACGTTATTTATCATCAGACTTGTCAATAAAGAAATGAACAATTTGTACCTTGAAAAGTATGAACCTCAGCATAATATAAAGCAGGAACCTGAATGTTTCAAATTTCGTACAAATTTCAGAATAACTGACGAATGTATGAAATATAATATTGAAAATAAATTGTGCAGATGCAGATGAAGACAAACAACTCAAAAGCAAGAGAAAGCTTTACACCGAAAGAGTTGAGACTTTTATACTGATTTAAGTAAAACACCAGATGTAACTCACGACAATAATGAAATTGAAACTATTGCTTTTGACTTTTAGCGAAGTCTTCCTTTACCACTTCTTTCATTTGGTGATGTTTCTTAAAATCATCAGCTTTTGATTTCCTCATTCTGAATTTATGAAACTAGTTCCAAATCTAGTTAATTTTTTATGACACGTCTCGGTTGGAAAGGCCAGAATGAAGTTACAAATAAGTAGAATTATTAATGTTCTGCATCCAGAAGTATGTCATTTCTATACTTTTTACTGCTAACTGCAGTGCACAATTAAAAATTCTGATTGCATTTTTCCTTTTAATTGTAAAAAATGTTAGACTCTGGAATTTTGTTTGTCACTCTCCAAAGACACATGGTTCCATACATATGGGTTTTGGTTATGCCTGAGGAAAAACACAGGAAACATGAATGCATCTGTTTACCATTCTGATTGCAGATATTATTAAAAAGATAGCCAGAAATGATATTTTATATAGTTTCTGAATTGTGATGAAAATTATCACTTGTTATAAAAAATGTGTTTTTGTAAAAGTATTACAATTTAAAATTCCCCTTTTGAGTTTGGAGTTAAATATATTTTTTTAAATATGTCGCAGTAGTAATGTACGTTTCTTAAATTTCACCAAATTTATGCATGTCTAGCCAGGAGGAGGGAATATTGTACCATAATCATGTCAGATTACAGAAGAAAATGTAATGATGTAATGAAACTGCTGCCATCTTATGTTCGTCCATGTGGCGTGTTTTATATTCACTTAAGATTAGACGACAAAGTAAATTAATGTGAAACATCAGAAACTGATGAGTGAAATTATTGCTAATGCTATTTAAGTAAGAATAAATGTTACACATTTTCTTGATTTTTTGTTGTTTGACACAAAATCATATTTCATTTCAAAAACCAGGTGAGTCCACTCCTGCTTGCCTGTAGATCCTTCCGTAGCTGCAAAGGTGCAAAAAGAAAAGTTTCTTAGATATATAATTATCGTTTACATATAATTTTGTAATTTTGACAGTGAGAAATAATTCTAGATTTGAATTTCTATTTCTCTTGATAAATTTACTGAAGTGGTTCTTGCAGCCAAACCTGTATTTCATGACCATTTACAGTTTCAGTAAAGTGCAGTTACAGCTTCGAGATTTATATGTCAACATTAAGGAATACAAATGTTTGAGTGCAATAATACATGGGTTGGCCATTACTTCTACACTGCTTGCCTCACAGCCAAACGTACACGTACTTACTTTTATGATCATAGATTTGCGCATAACAAAAACAACTTATTAATTATGGCAGAAAATGTTTTCTGTATTTTAATTTTGTATTTGTGCAGGGAGGTAGAGAATGGGGTCAGGGGAATTGATGTTTTGCAGAATACATCGATGCATCACATGGCTCTTAATCGATGATAGCGGACTGTTGCTTTAAACCACAATATTTAAATTCAGTTTTGAGCTCCTTTTCCTGGGAATGTCCTGTCTCCATATAGAATTCCAACATTGTTAAATAAATCCAAATCCATTCTTTAAATTCATTGCCAGGTATATAAGAAAGAATCTACAGAGTATGGAGTTAAACTCAGGAGAGTTAAGAAATTATTATACATGATATGCTGATTTGAGGGTAACTTCTTGTGAATGGCCTTGATTTGTTTCTAAATTCTCTTTATTTGAAGATTTCTGTCTTCTGGGTTGTTGCACCGTGTAGTATGGTTGATGTTAACCATCGTTTCAGAGTTCATACTGCCTCCGTCATCAGGGCGATGACAGAAATCTTCATACTCACTGCTGTGAAAACCTCAAATCTTACATCCTCTTTATTTGTATAGCAAACAACCAGTGTGACTCTGTTGTCTAGTCTGTTAAGGAAATTTAAATATTCTGCCCTGTGGATGCTCGTTCTTTAATTTACCATTCATATGAGACTAATTACTTTTCAGAGGAAACTCACAGATGTATTTAACCTAAATATAATTGTGAAATAGTGAACTCAGATTATATTTATTACAAAATAATGCATATAGTAATGGGAAAATAAGACTAGGTTTCTGAAGATTTTTATCTGCTTATCTTTGTGTTTCAGAAATTGGGCCCGTCACTGTTACAACAGACCACAACGAGTTTCGAGAGAGCCTGCAGAATATAACAGTCCATGGAGGTGGGGACTGTCCTGAGATGGCAGTAGGGGCAGTGAAAGAGGCTCTGACCGTCAGCTTGCCCAATTCTTTTATTTATGTTTTTACTGATGCCAGAGCTAAGGACTACAACCTGTTGACTGACGTGCTAGCTCTTGTTCAAAGGAAACACAGTCAAGTAATCTAGCTGCAGTACCTAGTACATTTTAGTAAGATGATTGAAATAGAGAAGTATAATTATGAGTATGCACATCCATGCAAAGGAATATATGTACTATAATGCAAATTAGAAGAGAGTGCTTTTAAAGAGTGACATAGATAAGTACTAATATGAAGAATGCTGTCTTCTGGGTTGTTGCGCCATGAAGCGTTTATCACCCTGATGACGGAGGCAGTATGACCTCTGAAACCTTGGTGGACATCTACCATACTACACGGCGCAACAACCCAGAAGACGGAAATCTTCATACTCACCGCTGTGGAAACCTCAAATCGTACATAGTAATATGAAGATGGCTGTCTTCTGGGTATGTCTAGTGGACTTCTCATGGGTCCCAGAGGCCCTTATAAGGGATGTTTCCTTCACTCTCTCTTTCTCTGAATACAAGTAATGGTATAAAAAAAACATTTTAAAATAAATAAGTATTTATTTCTGCTGAGTAAAAATAGTTATTAAATAATGTTAGGGGTTCCCTTTTCAACCAAATTTTTAAAATGATATTTGTCTGTTGTACACAAGAGCTAAGTAAGTCCATATGAAATATGTGGCATGTGCTGCACTACTAGCAGATTGAAACACGTTGTGATTGTTCTAATTTGATATAAACTTTATTGGTAATAATTTATGACATAGGAAATTATAAAATAATCAGTAATGACAAAACAAATAAATGAACAATGATAGTATGAACAGCAGAGTGGCAGAAAGCGACAAAGACATGTGAGAAATATCTTTACTGAAGACCAATGTTTTACACTTATAAATAGGGGGGTTATGCATGTGAATATCACTTGCCTGCTTACTAGACTGCCCACATTATAAGTATTGCCGTAAGGTGGTCTAGCGGTTAGAACGCTGGGCTTGTAATACTGGGGTCCCGGGTTCGATTCCCAACAGTGCCTAGATTTACAACTTGTATTGGGCAAGGCCGTGGTCTAGGCATCACGGAGTTTTCCTCCGGGGTTTCCCTGGTTTCTCTGTGACATCCCAACAATTACTCCACTTTCATCATCATTTCGCAAGGGGGTCACAGCAGGAGCGTTAAATGTCGCGGTCCTGGTCGAACCCATGTACTGATGGGTTGTGAATCCTGCTAACCACCAATCCACACCATGCTGAATGGTGTGTACTGCAGACAAAAACAATTAGAAGTATTTACTTAACTCTTGTAAACAGTTGCTGGAATATCTACTGTAATGTATTAACATTGTTATTGTGCAGGTTGTGTTTGTCATGACCGGAGACTGTGGAGATAACAAGCATGTTGGATACCAAGTTTTTGAGAAAATTGCATCTACCAGCTCTGGCCAAGTATACCACATAAACAAAACTGATGTGGATGAGGTGTGTAAATCAGTCATAATTAAAAAACTGTCTTATGATATTCTTGCCTAGTGTCAGCTTCATTCTTATTTTGTGCATAAACTACCTTTGTCTGTGCCACATATGTCTTAGATCTCATCTGTACTCTGCCGTTGCAACTGGAAATGTGTGCTTATTGACCTTTATTTATTGCTAATGCAACGAATTAAAATTTATTATACTGTCGCATATCATTAAATATGCAATCTCACTGACATAAATTTTCAGATGAGAAGGAAGAAAACAATGTTTAAAATGTATTTTCTTATATTCTGGTAAAAACTGTGGAAAGTATTTACATTAGATTACAATTTTCTCGTTTTGTTTGTTAATAAGTAGGTAAGTCAATATATCTTATGTTGAGTGATAATGACACTCATGTTTCTATATCATCTGCAATCAATTTTTATGCTTATGTGGACATTAGTGATGGTAACACTTGCATAGTATATGTGTTATTTCTTTTTTCTTCAGCTAGGAGCATTCAGAATTTAAAATTTGCAAGCTAACTCTTCAATTGACAATACACTTTTAAATTTTATTGTGCTCAGCATTAAATTGCCTGGCTCGTTACAGTCGACATCAGACAATTCAGAAATGTTATCAGCGTTGACATTTTCACAGTCTGGTATACCATGCAAAATGGTGGTTGACTGTGCTGCTGAAACTTCAGCTTCTTCAAAACAAGGCATTCTTCTTCCACAGTATCCAGAAAAATAGTTTTCAGTTTCTGCTTATGTTAGTTTTCTTTACCATATGCTATGTCTTTGACAGTTTGTAAATAATATCTGAGAATGTTAATTTCTTTAAAAATTTTGTGGTTTTTTTACGCTTATCGGTGTGTTGCTCGAGAAGGCTTCCAGTGCCACTGTGGCACTCACTTCTTGGCCCATAGGCTGAATTAATGCAGTCACATTACATGGCAAATATTTTACACAGATTTGATCATTATCTTGCTGTAGAAATTTGTTGTTCAAATGCCATTTTGCATAAGCAAGCAGCAGTACAGCTTTTTCTAACAGGCCTCCTGATTTTAAGTGCTCTCACACCTGCTGCACAGAGTTAAGGTCAAACCAGTATTAATAGCAGTGGTACAGTAGAGAACGGTTATTCTTTCATTAATTATTTAGTAAATTTGTACACTTGACCCCTAACCAATGGTGGTGTTTGTGTGATGTTTCTAGTCTCCTTCAGCTGGTGAAACACATTTTGGTCTGAATGGTGGCATGCATAAGCCCTATCTCCAGCGTAAAACTATTACTGTGCACTGAGTGTTGATTACTGTCGACTGTGGTATTGCAAGAATGTATCTTCATATTTCCTGTGCTGTACATCACACTCTTATGTCCCTTGGTCCTCCCACAGTGTGATTAATGTACTTGCTTCATATGATGGATATAATTTCTTGTAGATAATTTTTCCTTTTATATTTTGTTTTGTTATAAGGCTTCCTACCCTTTCCCACAGTTATCATGTGCTATTTTTCTGCACTCTGTAGAATCTGAGACCTCAGATTATGTAAATGTATCTGTTCAGGCCTAATGATGACCCTGCAGGGTCAAAACATTTGCCCTAGTAAATCTCTGATTGTAAAAAAATATATTATGTAAGATGGAACCTGTGCCTTCTGTTTGTTATTGTATGTAGTTTCTCTAACAGTGAAGCAAAACAAATGAATTCCACTATTCTGATCCAATACAATCTACTGTACTATTATCATACTGAATAAAGCTTAATGGAATTTATACCTTATGTCAAGCATCTTCTATTTTGTATAATACTTGATTTTGTGAAACTGGGTAGTCTAATTTCTGCTGTATGTAAATTAGGGATCATATGAACCAAAATTAAATTTATGTGCTAACTTTATTTTAGGCCATGTCAATATCAATTATAATCAGAGTCTGTTTGAGCAGCTATTAAAGTGAACATTTTTGTTACAGGTGTTGAAATTTGTGCGAATGTCCTTGCAGTCTCGTAAAGTCAACTTGCTGTCTGTCAACAAACCTGGACCTTCAACAGACGAACACGACTTGTTTATTGATGAATCCCTACAAGAGTTTACTGTGTCAGTATCAGGTTTAAACCCTCAAATTGGTGTAATGAATCCTGAAGGCAAGCCTGTACAAGGTCCCCCAAAGTTAAATACTGTGCTGTCACTTCAGAATATTAAAGCAGTGAATGTTATTGAACCTGAACCGGGACAGTGGAAAGTCAAAGTTATCAGTGATTCAGAACATTCAGTAAGGTCAACTGGTCTTAGTGATGTTGATTTTAACTTTGGGTTTTCTACTATTGTCACTAATAAGATGGAAGAAACTTACCACAGACCACTTAAAGGTAAGACTTTATGCAGAATATTTTAATTAATAATATATTTACTGCCACTGGGGATTAAAATATGAACCTGTGCCATTTTCATTCGTTAGTTTGTATGGTTTCAAATGTTAAATCTGAAATTGTTTTGTTACAACTATAGAGTATCCCTTTTCTTGTAAAGTTTGTGAAAACTATTCAGAAGACGTATAAAGTGAAGCTTTCGCGGTGACTGAAGTTGATGAAAGACTCTCAGGCTACAAGTCATTGGCAAGCACACTACAAAGAATTAGATTTGTTTTGCAGCAGTCCTGAGGATGAGAGCAGAGATTGTTCTCGAAACGTTGGCAGAAGATGTGGTTTATTCACCATTCAGCCACCTGACGCGGCTCATAACCTGATAGTCTTTTATTGCATTCAGAAGACGTTATACATTGGAGTTGATTGACTGCTTTTGTGTGTTCCTTGGCCTGTTTCGGTTGTGTCATGCAGTAGACAGCCCAACTCACAAGTTTTTTGTTAAGCGTATCTCACAGCCGAGTGAGGTGGTTAAGGCCAGACTTGCAATGGCTAAATAGTAAAATGTGATAACACTGAACTCCTCTTGATACAGACACCTTATACTGCTGCCAAGCGACAGCTGAAGGCTGTCCCTTCTCCACTGTTGTGACAGGTTGTTGTATGTACCATTGAAGTCAAATCTTCATGATAAAAGGAATGAAATATAATAAATGAAAGTTTATAAAACTCATTATTTATTTATCAGTATATTAACCACCATGGTGATCTAGCAGTCAGCATACAAGATTAATATTCAGAAGTTTCATGACTGCTGCCATTAATATTGTAAATAATGAATAATTTAAAGGAAACCTGTCAGTATAATAACATCACTTGAAGACCATAAATGCCATGGACATGTCCGACAATTTCAGTGCATTGACTCATTGGTTTTCGCAAATCTTCAGAAAATTTACATCTTGCTTGAAATTTTAGTATAATTGTGCCCCCTATTTGGTACCCATTATCAACATTTAAAGAATTTAAAATGTTCTTTCAGTTAAAAATCTATGAATTATTCAGCATTCTTAATAGTGGTCATATTAATAACACTCTGGAATATTTCTTAGGTGTTGTCAGAAACAGGTGTTAAGAGAGACAACTAAAACTTACAAACCACTTAACAAAAACTGTTTGCCCATAATCCAACAGTCTTATTGAAAGAATTTATTAATGAAGTTAATTAAATCACTAATGAAAACAATTAGATAATTTATATTTATATTGTGTTGTCTAAATGTATCATTATTCATAGGTGAGAAAAATTCAGTGTTAGTTGAAGCCACTCAGTCAGGCATGGTGTACAACCTGACAGCTTTGAAGTTAATAGACTTAAAAGGGATCGAATTTCAAGAAATTCCACTGCATTCAGTTTCTGACAAGCCTGGCCTATACCAAGGATCCATGTTTGTTCCACCTAATGACTTCTTTCACCTTGGTGTAAGTACTCAGATACAGACTGAAATATACACTGATGAATTATTATTGTTGATTATCATTCACATTCAGTAGTTTTATTTTGTTGAAATACTTGTTTCAGCCTAATGTGGCCATCATTAGGTTTGAATATATGTTCAAAGTCATTGCACCGGAACTGTATAACTTACTCATTCTCCTGATGTCTCAATAGTAATAAACTTAGGAGTAAAATATTGTTTTGAATTTAAAATAATTAAAATGAGTCAAAACTGAAGCACAGCTTGGTGAATCCAGTCGTATTTTGTATCTAAGCTATGTGTCTTCTGGTGTGGAATGATCTGGCTGGAATGAAAATTAAAATATGTGTTGAAAGTAGACAATTACAAATTTCCAGGAAGTACAGAATGCAGGATATTGCATAAAATGATATTTTGTGATTTGTACAGAGTACATATTGTTGTTAGGGTGGTGAAATTAGGAACGTTATGATAGCATGGACATGTAACTGAGATGGGCCATGCAGTAAATTTATACAATTTTTTTGTAGGAAAATTTCATGAAAATCTACTTTGAAAACTAAGAAGATGGCAGGATAACATTAAGGTTGATCATAGCGAAATATGTACTGTGGGTGATAGATTGAACTGTTCAGTATCTTGTCCAGTGGTAAACTTTGGTATTAGTAAGATAGAATCCTTGGATTCTACTACCTCAAAATTGGTTTCAGGTTGTTGTACTTTTTTTAAGGTTGATGGATATGACAGAGATGGCTTCCCTCTGAAGAGAATATCACCTACAGCAATTACTGGACAAAGTCCAGGTAAGAATAGTTACACTGAACTGATAATAGCTCCTATTTAAATTGGGGTATTATAAAACATGGAATTCCTCAAGGGTCAATACTTTGTCCTCTGCTTTTCCTCATATATAAAAATGATTTACTGCCAACCATTAACTTTTATTCTAAACCCATACCATTTATGGATGATACTACTATTATTATTTCACATTCAGAAATTGACTGTTTCCATATTTTAATAAATAACAACTTTGCTAGCTTGAAGAAATGGATTAAAGCCAGTGAACTCACACTAAATTTTGACAAAACAAATTTCATGAAATTTTGTGCTACCAACAAAAATTGTGTTAATTTTGATATACGGTATAAGGATAAAACAATTGAAGAAGTAGAATCAACTAAATTTCTTGGCATATAAATTGACAATTACTTAATATGGAAAACAGATATTCAGTACATTATTCCTAAACGAAGCTCAGCATGAGGAATGTCACATCATTTTTGAAAACAGATACTTCAAAATTTGACTACTTTGCTTACTTTCATTCAGTCATGTCATATGGATTTTTTTTTATGGGGAAACTAAACAGAGAGAAAAAAGTATTTTACATTGAAAAGGAAATTGTAATAATGGCAGGCACTAAGAGCCTCATGCAGGGAATTGTTAAGAAATTCAATATTCTTCTATTAGCTAGTGAATTTTTGCTCATTATTATCATTTGTAATGGACAACACAGAACAATTTCAAAGAAACTCAGATATCTGCAATATATGTACAAGATACAGATATAACCATTATGTACCAAGCATTAAACTAAATAAATATCAAAAAAGTGTTTACTGTACTGGAATTAAGCTACTCAGTAATCTTGCCCCCACTATAAAAAGTCTGAATTATCATAAAGAAGTTAAACCAGCATTAAATGAGTATTTCCTATTTCACTCCTACTCCATAGAAGAATTTAACTCGACCAAAAATTCTTGGCTATTATAAATACATGCAAGCTATAGTGGTCATGCTTTCTTGTGTATTTATTTTTATGGTAATACTGTAATTGACTGTAAATTACTGTCATAACTATGTAATTTATTTTTGTATTAGAAATAAGCATTGCATTTGTGCTGACATGTTCTACATCCTTGGCTGAGGCATATGAAGGAACTATGGAATGTAATAAATTTTGTTCTATTCTATTATGGCAAGGTAATAAAGACATTTACCATAAGTCAGTAGGTGGGCACAAATAAATGCATACTTGCACAGTACATGTAGGAAATGTGAAGCAACATTTTAGTATATATGTAATGCTGTAGCCCAGCATCCTATCCAAAAAGTATTTCTTTGATTTTCTTTGTTCTAAAAGATATGCACTAAAATCTTCATACCTAATCATGTACAGTACCTAACAGCTTTACATCAGAAGAGTCAGGTGGTGAATTAATTAACCCTTTAAAGCCTACTATAACAGTCATTATTTTTGCATTTTGCTCACAAAGTCACAGCATTAGCAAGTCGATCATTGTAATAGTTATAGGGTTTTTTCGTTGATGTAAGGATTGAATGTTCAGATATTATTAAAATGATATTTGGCTTTAAAGGGTTAATTAAAACAAGTAGAAAATTCTGTATGAATCTGGCAGCATGTGTAAACTGCTCAAATGCCATGTTTTGGCTTGGATTGTTATTTAGAGTCATTTCACACAGTGTTATTTGGAAAATAAACTTATAAACATCTGAAGATTGCTGTCTTCTGGGTTGTTGCGCCATGTAGTCTGGTAGATGTCCACCAACATTTTAGAGCTCATGCTGCCTCTGTCATCAGGGACATCTACCAGACTACATGGCACAACAACCCAGAAGACAGCAATCTTCAGACTCACCGCTGTGGAAACCTCAAATCCTACATTATAAATATCTGTCTGTACAATAAATAAACAAGTTCTGGTAGCTTAGTTGGTTGATTATCATTTTCTGTTATATGATTTTGGCCTTTTAGGATAATATTCATGAATGTATGTTTTATTATAACTGTTGAAAATATGTTTTAAGAAGCATAATTGTAAGGCTTTGTCACATTGTATATCTGTAGAACCACCAGTGGTGCATATGAGACATGAGATAACAGGTTGGCTCAATAAACCTGTGAGGATAGGATGCCACATCGAGTCACTCGTTCCTTTTTCTGCCTTGTGGTTTAAGGATGGAGTTCCACTTACAAGCACTGAGAAATATGGGTAAGTTGATTCTGTTTTAGTTGAACTTCATTCTGGAGGTTACACAGGTAGTAAAAAATATACAGGATGATTCAAAAGGTTAGAGCCAAACTGAAGAAGCATATAGAGGGACTCAGAGAGAACAACTTTTGAATGGAATCCATGTCCTCCGATGTTATCCTGAGTCAGTCGAGGCCATTGAAGGTAGGGAAGTCTGATAACATACTGCTGAAATAATCATACTTTGCTCTTCTCCTACTAGCTTAAATTTTTTTTTATTATTAATGTACAAGGATTACATTAGCAATCTTATAAACCAAATTATTTCAGCGGTATGTTATCAGACTTCCCTACCTTCAATGGCCTCAACTAACTCAGGATAACGTCGGAGGACATGGATTCCTATTCAAAAGTTGTTCTCTCTGAGTCCCTCTACATGCTCCTTCAGTTTGGCCCTAACCTTTTGAATCATCCTGTATATAGATACATTCGGTGTTAATACATTCTTCCTTTAAATCTGAACTAGCAATACATGGTATAATCTATAATCTATAGTCTATATTTCATACACTCTCAAGCACAGGATGGAACAGTATAAAGAAAAGTTATGTTACTTTTATAATACGTGATTACACGTAGTTTGAATCAAGAAGTCCCCATTGAAAAAGGGGGCATAAGGTCTTACTCTCAGACTGAAAAAGAATGAAAAATGTTACTTTAAATATTACACCACTTGCCACTGAAATTAAAGTAATGTTATGAAAAATATTTGTAATCTGTAATTGTTATTATTTGTTAATAATCTGAGGCGAGTTTAAATGATTTCCTAGCCAATACATCCTACAAAATGTCAGAAAGTTTTAATATCGGTTACTGTTTTATGTTTACCTTATAGATAATAACACTAATCGTGTACATGTCCTTTTAGACAAACTACAGAGCTATCTTGGGTACTGCAGAATTCCACAGTTAGAGATGAAGGAAACTATAGCTGTTATGCAAATAATGTAGCTGGCAGGTCATTCAGCAGCACATGGCTAACAATTACAGGTAAATAAAACTATACAGGAAACACAGGATCTTGATATTTTCTTTGTGTAAGCTGTCTCAAATGTTTAGATGAAAGATTATTATTTGATCATTGTAACAGTGACACTCTTCAGCTGTTCATTGAAATTCATAGTATCTGCTCGGTTAATCACAGTAACAATTGACATATGTAGACGTAGTGTTCAAACAGGTAGCCATCATAACTAAGTTTATAAATTTTATCTAAAAGAGTACATCGTGTTAATGCTGCAGGCCTATATAGTATAACATATTTTTCTTACTACTTCAGGAAATGTCACAAAATATTTTTCAACTGAATACGTTTTTAATGAGATAAATAAATTGTGTTATATCTTACATGTAGTCTTCTGTGTACACAAAAGAGGAGGGGATATAAGAGAAAATAATAAAACAAGCATGTAATTACAGTACTATACCTACAAGTTTTGTGACTACATGGCACAACAACCCAGAAGACAGCAATCTTCAGACTCACCGCTGTGGAAACCTCAAATCCTACATTATAAATATCTGTCTGTACAATAAATAAACAAGTTCTGGTAGCTTAGTTGGTTGATTATCATTTTCTGTTATATGATTTTGGCCTTTTAGGATAATATTCATGAATGTATGTTTTATTATAACTGTTGAAAATATGTTTTAAGAAGCATAATTGTAAGGCTTTGTCACATTGTATATCTGTAGAACCACCAGTGGTGCATATGAGACATGAGATAACAGGTTGGCTCAATAAACCTGTGAGGATAGGATGCCACATCGAGTCACTCGTTCCTTTTTCTGCCTTGTGGTTTAAGGATGGAGTTCCACTTACAAGCACTGAGAAATATGGGTAAGTTGATTCTGTTTTAGTTGAACTTCATTCTGGAGGTTACACAGGTAGTAAAAAATATACAGGATGATTCAAAAGGTTAGAGCCAAACTGAAGAAGCATATAGAGGGACTCAGAGAGAACAACTTTTGAATGGAATCCATGTCCTCCGATGTTATCCTGAGTCAGTCGAGGCCATTGAAGGTAGGGAAGTCTGATAACATACTGCTGAAATAATCATACTTTGCTCTTCTCCTACTAGCTTAAATTTTTTTTTATTATTAATGTACAAGGATTACATTAGCAATCTTATAAACCAAATTATTTCAGCGGTATGTTATCAGACTTCCCTACCTTCAATGGCCTCAACTAACTCAGGATAACGTCGGAGGACATGGATTCCTATTCAAAAGTTGTTCTCTCTGAGTCCCTCTACATGCTCCTTCAGTTTGGCCCTAACCTTTTGAATCATCCTGTATATAGATACATTCGGTGTTAATACATTCTTCCTTTAAATCTGAACTAGCAATACATGGTATAATCTATAATCTATAGTCTATATTTCATACACTCTCAAGCACAGGATGGAACAGTATAAAGAAAAGTTATGTTACTTTTATAATACGTGATTACACGTAGTTTGAATCAAGAAGTCCCCATTGAAAAAGGGGGCATAAGGTCTTACTCTCAGACTGAAAAAGAATGAAAAATGTTACTTTAAATATTACACCACTTGCCACTGAAATTAAAGTAATGTTATGAAAAATATTTGTAATCTGTAATTGTTATTATTTGTTAATAATCTGAGGCGAGTTTAAATGATTTCCTAGCCAATACATCCTACAAAATGTCAGAAAGTTTTAATATCGGTTACTGTTTTATGTTTACCTTATAGATAATAACACTAATCGTGTACATGTCCTTTTAGACAAACTACAGAGCTATCTTGGGTACTGCAGAATTCCACAGTTAGAGATGAAGGAAACTATAGCTGTTATGCAAATAATGTAGCTGGCAGGTCATTCAGCAGCACATGGCTAACAATTACAGGTAAATAAAACTATACAGGAAACACAGGATCTTGATATTTTCTTTGTGTAAGCTGTCTCAAATGTTTAGATGAAAGATTATTATTTGATCATTGTAACAGTGACACTCTTCAGCTGTTCATTGAAATTCATAGTATCTGCTCGGTTAATCACAGTAACAATTGACATATGTAGACGTAGTGTTCAAACAGGTAGCCATCATAACTAAGTTTATAAATTTTATCTAAAAGAGTACATCGTGTTAATGCTGCAGGCCTATATAGTATAACATATTTTTCTTACTACTTCAGGAAATGTCACAAAATATTTTTCAACTGAATACGTTTTTAATGAGATAAATAAATTGTGTTATATCTTACATGTAGTCTTCTGTGTACACAAAAGAGGAGGGGATATAAGAGAAAATAATAAAACAAGCATGTAATTACAGTACTATACCTACAAGTTTTGTGTTTATTTATTTATTTATTTACAAGTTCCAGAAATCCAATAGTGGATATAGAACGCGTCACAAACTCAAGTATAAAAGCATAAAATACATACATTAAAGAATTACATCTAGACAAGCAGCGTACTAAATACAAAACAATATAACTAGTTTTTTTTATTGTAATAGTTATCCAATTAGGTACTCATCCACAGTATAAAATGAGTGAGTAATTAAAAAATGCCTGAATGCAACCTTGAACTTTTTATGTCTTAGTTAATAAGGTATTGAAATTAATATTAAAATTAATTCAGTTTTGCACTATATTGTCATTAGAATTATATGAGAATATTTTATCAAGTAACATAATTTATAAATACCTGTACTAGATACATAAAACTCATTGTCTCTGTTTTTTGTGAAGGACCTGCACCAAAGATTGACACTCCATCACAAGTTGTATCAGCACCAAACAAAGCAGCTGCACTGGATTGCATAGTTAACAGTCAACTACATTACAGTGTCAAATGGGCCAGAGTTCCACTGGATGCAGTAACAGTTCCTAAAATTGGTAAGTATGGAACATGGACACTGTGACATTCTGACTGTCATATGTATTAGAGCTCCAGTGGATGCAGTTAACATTTTAGTACCATTAATCTTTATCCTGTGGGAATAAGAAACCCTATACCATGGGGTTGATGGCTGGACTCCTGAGAAGTGCAGTAAAACCCCTCAAGTCATTTTATCTGGAACATATGAACTATTTGTCATTCTGGCATATCACAAGTTGAGAGCTCCACTGAATGCAATAACATTACTAATAATTGCCATTATTTTTATCATTAACATTGTAATTGTTATTATTGGGATTGATATTATTATTACTGGGTAGTGTAGCTTTGCATCAGCACTTTACAGTTAAAAATTTAATTGAATTATTTGCTGTTGTTGTATTTATTATTTTTCCTGATGCTGTATTTGTAATTGGCCTTCTGGCTGTTGGTACAGCACAAAAATAAAAAAATAATTGAATTACTGTTATTATTTTCTCCTTCTCCATGGGAAGGTTATTACAAAGTTTTCAGATTTTGTTTGTGCTCGATTAATTGAACTTATGATTGCAGAAAATGTCCAGTATATTCAAAATGATGGGAAAACAAAAATATTGCCAAATGGAACCTTAATTGTTTATGCGGTAGACCAAGAAGATGAAGGCTGGTACACTTGCATTGCAGAAAATAAAGGTAATTGATTCTCTTATCACTTATATAAATTGCAAATATATTTTATAATTATTTGAGGAGATCATAAACTTTGATGGCCAAGCTCAAGACTGAATCTGAGCTACTCACATGCTTTATTATAACGTTTGTACAGATGACACAACAGATGGATTGGCAGATATATTCTGACAAGATTTTTAACTTTGTAGACAGTTGATTTATCAGTTTAAGGCAATACCCAAAATCAAAGCAAAAACCCACAGTTCTTAAATGTTATTGGCATGAGAAGATGCATATGGAAGACATCTAAGAGTCCTGGGCATTAAGAAGCAATAGTAACAATATTAGTGACAACATAATATAAAGTAACTGGTACTTTATTTTAGTTCTGAATTATATAGTACTAAATTAAAGCATTCACATTTATTGTCTGCAGAAACTTTAATTATGTATCAAAATACAGTAAATTCTCAATTATTCAGGTTAAAGAATGGGTAGAAACACATGAATAATTAAAAAATATGATTAATCCAAAATATTTTGATCAGTACATTAACAGAACTTCACAAATTGTGTTACCTTTTTTAAACAACTGATGTTATTTTGAACAATTGATTGCTATTTTTGTGAACTGTTTATGCTCCCTATCATGGCAATACAAATTTCACTCATCCTCCCCACCCTCTTCTTCTTCCTTCTGTTTTGTGGCAGTATTGACAGTTCTGTGTGTCATGTGCTGTGAGCCCACTTCATATGCATTGCTCTGCAGCCATTCTTCAACATGATCTCCATTAATATTTTAACAACTTCTCATAGCACACACCATGTCAACAATTTTGGATTTGCTTCCTATTAAAAAAACAAAAAAACTTAAAGGCCATCTTCTTCCAGATCTGGAAGAGGTTTCCTCCACAATCAAACCAACATTATTGGATTCACAGAATACCATGCCAAAGATATGCATGTGACAATGTAATTTTCTTTTATAATTCCATTATGTTATAACCTTTATCAGCACGAGTTCTGAGATGTTAGCCTGGTAGCATTGTTTAATAGATGAAATCACTCAGTCCCTGCCCCATAATCTTTGGCAATTGTCACCCATTCTCTGTTCTCAAAATTTTCAGGTAACTTATTTATTGGAGTGATAATGTTTATTTACATTTTATGAGAAAGAATTATTTAGAATCCACAAGTGTTAACTGTCACCCAACACATTGTAATGGGATTGACTGTCAGACACTAATATTTGAAAATGACCAAGTACAAAAATAACATCTCTCTCTCTCTCTCTCTCTCTCCCCACCACCATGACCATTGGGACAAACCTCCCCACACTGCACTGATACTGACCATATAGTATAGAAAAAAGGCACTGTTTGACCACATCTTCTGTAGACTAAAAGTGGTTGCAAGAAGACATTGAAAGCTTAATTTACATGTCTTGTTTGTGAAAAATAAGTCATGCATGGATAATCTGCAAACTGGTTATTTTGCAC